TTTTTTTTTTTTTTTTTTTTTTTTTTTTTTTTTTTTTTTTTTTTTTTTTCAATCAGTTTGCTTCTTCCTTGTATACAGAGGACGGAAACTCGTCAGAAGCATAGTGTAATCGTTATTTTAAAAAATGCATCGTTTCAAAAAATTAAATATAAACATTTTTGAAATGTACATGTGCATCAAGTGAAACAAGAATTCAAAACAATCGTCTGAATTGTGCTAAAAGAATGTAAGCCACGATTTTTTTAATCATACGGAGCAACGAAAAAGTCTCTGTCACAAAAAGATTTAAAATAAAATCAAAATTAAATGACTATTGAGAATTATGTTTAATAAACATACAGACAATATTAATATTCAGGATTTATTTGTAGAAGGTGCATTTATTCCGATCACCGTACTGTTTAATTAGAGTATGAAAGTACTCTATTATCTTTTGAGGGAGAGCTCAAAGATTTTATTTTTGTTCATGATAAATTGACTTAAAAAATGTCACTGATAGAGCCTAAAAACAATTTTCAAATGGGTGTGGTAGAAAAATGAAATAGTTTTTACTTTTGATGACAGTATTGGTAATCAGTTTGAAAATGGGGCGCCTCAATCATGTGGTTGACTGACTTTTATTTTGTCACCCATATCTTCACCCAAATGAAGATAGCAATAGCCCGGCTCTACGAATTCAATGTGTTTCTGGAGCACAGTGTGGTATGATTTTATTGCATATATTTGCTAGTACATACTGATTAAAAACTCAAATCAAGAGTATAATTTTTTGAAGTATTAATTAATTCCAGAATTTGATTACATTTTTTTAAATAAGATATTTTTATTTCTTGTATTCAAAATTACGAGTGGAAAAAATCATTTTTCGAACTTCTAAACTGTTAACAATAAAGCAAAATAATTTTACTTATAAGGTATCAGACTTAAATTACTTCTCAGTTATACAAGTAGCAATAGCTTAAAATTATGAAACTTCACGTGAAAAATCAGAGTGACTGTCATCACTAGTAATATGATCTTGGTGCTGTGGAATGGCTTCATACGAGCAAATAGTCACTCCATGACGGTGCCCAGGTGACCATTCTCCTTTGAGTCCAATGTAATCAATTCTAGTCCTCTCCGCTCCTTGGTTTCCGGTAAAATGGAGGGTAAGGTAATGCATTGAAGAAAATTTTGCCACTCTGTGAACCAAAATAATTTCCGCTTAGTCAGAATCGAAACAAAGAAAGTCTTAATTTCTATTTATAACTTGATATCTTTCTCAAATTCACATTGAATACAATTTTTTTCAAATTATATCTTCAGTGTAAGATTTGGCATATATTATAATCGTTTCAAAACTAATCAATTATCTCAATCACATACTTGACAGGATACTCATGAACACCATATTGGTCAATAACTAACTCAAACTTTTGTTCAGGTTCGCTGGCAGCTTCATCGAATGTCATTCCTTCTCTGTTTTTGAATCTGTGGACACACACATTTTAAAAATAAAAACTATTTTTATTACAAAAATACAAAGAAGAGAAAGAAAAACAATCAAACGTTACTCACAATTTAACTTCAGTAGGATGAGACTCGCCTGGTCCTCCCACTATGATAATACCTTTGAGCTTAATATCACCAGTAAATCTGTAGATCAATTGAGTTTATTAATTTTTGAGCACACATTTTTGTTCAATACTATATGAAGATTTCAAACTTACGGTATGTTAAAAAGAAGTTCCTCATCTACATCACTTTCAACATACTGTAAAAAAAAAACAAAAATATTTAAAACGTGTATTAAGAAACAATGATAAACACATAATGATGTGCAATGGAAATTCTTCAAATATGGCGTAATTAATAAAGTTATCATAAACAGGAGCGATTCTTGTAAAAATTTTAAATTTATCAGTTGAAGAAATTGTAATGTTTAACTTTACAATTTTGACTTTAAGTAGACCTTTAAAACTAAATGAAAGAAAAAAACCTTTGTGTGGTCCAGACGCTCTTCCCAAGACTTGAAAACTTTAACTCCAGAACCTTCCGCCAGTTCGTTAAGGCACTCAACATTTTGTAAATCAATTTTTTCGTACAAATTATACTGGACTCCAAGCTCCCTTTCGTCGTGAGAACCACCACATTGGCATTGTCGCTCCATTCTTTTTTTAAACAACAGTGCTTGCGTGTGGCAAAAAAAATAGCACTTTTTGATAGACACCGGTCGATAACCTCTTTAACGTTACCGAAAACCGACTAAAGTGACGTTGCAAACAATGAGTGCTGTGTGCACGACAATTATACTTCACTTTTCAATACTTAGTGTTAGCATAAGCGAACACAATTACCCATTTTCTAGTCAAAGCTAAAAAATATTTAGACTCTACAGAGAGTAATTAAGATTTTCTAAAACAAACCACGGTTGTACTTGAACCTCGAAGCTCAAACTTCCAACGATTCATTGCGCCTACACATAGGCTACCTTTGTAGGTAGGCCTAACGCCATAATTTTAACTATTGCGTTTGCGCTAATATTTAATTAACGTTCCTTGATGTTAAGTTTAACGATTAGAGGAATTACCGCCTTGCTCAGAAATAACATGTCATACTTACTTGATGAATTATTTGTATGATACTTTACAAAATTGCACAAGAAAAATTTTCAAGGCACCTGCCAATTTACTGCATGAAAAAAAATCCAAATCACAACACAACAAAGGGATGTTTAAAGAACGTTGGCTAATCGTACGATTTTTTTTTTTTTTTGAATTAATTATCCATCATCAGGTGTAAAGAAGCGCGAACAAAAGAAGAAGAGGAAAAATTAAGGGATGATTAAATCCTGTGCCTAATCTAATTTTTTTTTTTTTTTTTTAAATAAAACACTTTTATTTCTTGTATTCAAATAGTACTTATAAGTGGAAAAACAACAGTATTATAAATCGTCTTTTGTTGTTTTTGTTGTTCTGGTGTATTATGAATTCTTTGGTGCATTGTATTTTATTTACACAAACACGTGAAATTCATTCTTCGTAATCTTACATATTCTACAGTTATAAGACATATAAAAAACATTGAATTTGACGCCATCCTTTTCACTGATCAGTGCAAATGACCGATATAATACAAACACGTAGATAAAACTTTGATTTAATTTGTTTTTGAAAAAACTTTAAGATTAATTATATTTAGTTGCAATAGTTATATGCAGAATTATTTTACAAATGCCACTGTTACTTAGGTATAATAAAGAATAAAACAATTTGCTCAAATGCATAAAAAAAAGAACAAATGCTCACTACTAATTACGACCTAAATTTCCCATTTCCATGTCAGGGAATTGCATTTGTAATTGTGAATCAATAATTTGAAATAGCTCTGGAGGCTGAGGTATTCTTCCAGTTTCCAGTTTTGACCAAATAGGAACATCTGAAAATATGTGATAAGTTTTCGTATTTTAAACCGTACAAATATTTTATAAAGTTTCCCAAACGTTCTCTCACCATTAAAATGTATTTCAAATGCTCCAGAGGAAATCAAATAGCCTTCAGCTGCATTACATGCAAAGAACAATATAACACAAGAGTATAGACGATTTGTTATGCACCATTGCCACCAAAATGGCATGGGCTGCCCAATCCACTGGAATATATTTATCTTACTAAATATTAAAAGTATGACTAGAATCTTGAGTCCACCCTGAAAAAGTGACAATGTTATGATTTAGAGTTGCTAAGCTGATTACAGCGATGAGTAATCGTATAAAAGTAATTCTTAGCATATGTTTTTATACACATATTAGTTATAATTACCAAAAACTTAGCAAGGCTCATATTTATTCCTGGAGGATTAAAGTTCTCTCCATCGATCTGCAATTCTGGATATTTCTGTCTCAAAATGTTAACGTAATCTTCAAAAACTTTCCTGTACCCACAAGAATAACTGCAAAAAAAAAAAAAAAAAAAAATTTAGGTCGAACAGTTAACAAAAAGTCTCTATTTTTCTTTTAGTTTGCAGCTGGTAATATGCATATTTACGAGTGTTTTAACGGATTTTGGCAGACTCTTAATACGTAGGATATTATATAAAATAATAAAGCTTAAAGAAACGAAAAATATGATTGTGAAGCGGAGAATTATAGGTTCATAGCGATGATACAGATATGGGTAATGTAGTAAGGTATTGCAAATAAGATATGTGGAAAGCATTAGATTGAACTTATTTAACAATACTTGAACTGATAACGATTGTATTCCTACATAATAGATAATTCAACGATTTTCATGAAAAGTTGGAACACACGAAAATTGTTTAAGTGAAAATAGGCTTAAAAAAGTTGTACAATTATATATCTTGTGTTTAATTTTCATGCACAAAAATTGAGAACATTGTTTTTGAAAAATACATTAATTTTTTTTTAAAGCAACCATCGTTTTTTTTCTTTTCTTTTCCTTCTTTTAATTACCTCGACAGCTTAAGCTTTTATAATATTGATGAATCCTAACTGTTACTGATTCTATGGATTATGATGATGTGTTGGTGAATGTTTTTTCATGTAACGCGCTGTATTTATCGGCAAAGCGACGAGCCGTTGTTCCTTTTGGGGTAACAGTAATTTTTCCTGGTAAACAAAAGCAACGACGGTAGTGTAGAGCGAGACGATAATTTAATTTTCCTCTGTTTAATATTTAAACACAAGCGGTCATGTTACACATAACAACTATTATTATTATTATCATTATTATTACTATAATTATTACTATTCATATTTATAATGGAAAATAATAAAAAAAATCTTATCTTTATTTAAGAGATACAGATGGTTGGCACGAATGATGATAAGTGAGAAAGATAATTAAAGAAGGGTTGGAATTATGAAAAAAAAAATTGAAATGTAAACGGCTGATAAGTTTGTAGCAGCAAAGGAATACATTGTAAACGATCCATGATTCTGCTGCCTGTAGAGTCAATGTGTGACTTTTCTTTGCATATAAAATCGACCCCATTGGGTCATCTAAACTGCGTACAGATCGTGTGAGTGCTTGTTTTTGTGAGTTTCTTAAATTAAGCAAGTAGTAGTAGTAGTAGTTTTACATACAGCCACTGAAATTAAGCAAGAGCGTCTCCAGTAAGGAGACGACGGTGTCACGAACCAAGTGTGCGATATTTATAAATTATCGGGTAGATCGTAAGGCTTAGAACCGACACATTAAGAAAAAGCACGTTGACTGGTAAAAAAATAAAATAAAGCTTATCTCATTGCAACTACCTATAGTAATGGCAGTCGTATTTTGAATTGCGTTGTTATCAGTTTTTGTCACCCTTTAGAAATAAGCAAGTATCTCTTGCGTCAATATCTTAATTGTGTGTATTTAATTGTCATTGATGATACAACCGAAAAATCGTGCTAAAATGTGCATCAAAGCTTATTAGGCGTTGTTTAAAGAATTTAATACCTTTCGAATTAGCAAAATGATTGTTTAGAACAAGCAAGCAAGTTATCTTTTTTTTTTTTTTTCTTAATGTTTCCTCTTTAATTATACTCTTAAGTTGTATCTTCCCACACCTTACCCCTTCTCTCTCCATTTCCCTTTTAGCAAAATAATTTTGCGTATGTGTACATAAAGATAAGAAACAGTGTTAAGCTTAAAAATACATTATTATTCATTAAATCAGCATCTCGTTTGTTTTCTTTCCTCTTCCTCTCTCTATCTCCGTTTCCGCACCAGTAATTTGAACAAGAGGATTTTATTTTTCGTAATAAGTTTTATTCTTCAAATACAACAATTATTGCGTACACAAATATAAGTCAAAGTTCGTTTAAAAAATAATTAACAAAAATAACTTGCAACCGACTCTACGATCCTCTTGTAATTGTTTGCGTGCATATAGACAAAAAATAATCCGATTTACAATTAAAAATAAATTCCGTATGTGCAAAAAAGATTGTGCCATCGATTTTGTTATCAAAAAATAAGCTCCTTCTTCTCCCTCACACATTTTTTTTTGTCAAATTCACATAAGCACCTTGTGTCCGCGCAACTCATGACAAGCCAATACTGGCAATGAGACTATTCGCCTTCTCTATGTACAACTTTTTCGCCTCGTCCTGGCTCATGCCTTTCTTCTTGCACCAAGCCTCTCGCTTGGCTTTTCCCTTGAAATCAAAAAAGCTTGCCTCTTCTACGGAAAAAAAAAAAAAAAATTGTTTTGTCAAACTGTTCATTAAAACTTGTTTATTTGTCTTGGATGGTTTACCTGTTTCACAGTCTCCAATAGTCGCCTGCTTGAACAGGGCGTAGAGCTCGAGCATGTCCTCTTTCAACGGCTCGGACTTTAATTTCTTGACCTCCTCGGCAACTTTGTTGAATTCCTGAATAAGATAAAAAAGAATCATCAAAAAGTTCAGAGACCAAGTCGATAAAGCGAATCGCGACGCTACCGGCCGAGCTTGCGATACTGGCGTGGTCTGGCTAATGTTTTGCCACATCAGTCCGTAAACTTATTAGGCACATCATTTTCTCAATGCACCGTAGGTATATAACGAACAAAGCGCGAGCCAATCAAAGTAATTGGCCCCTACGGCATTTTAAACACGCGCACTCATCCTATGCATGTATACCAGTTTATTATCGAACCTACTTGAGCTATTCTTAATAGCTTCCCATCACGCGATCCATTCACCAGTCACACTCTCTCTCTGTGGCTCATTCATCAATAAAGGCATTCGATTTTTTTTTTTTGAAATCAAAATACCACGAAATAATCAATTTAAACATACCTCGTCGAGAGACATGATGCGCGTTTGATGGTGTTGATGGATTTTACTTTTTTTTAATTTTATCAGTTGGTTGCTCCAAAGTCAGGTTCGCGTACCAAAGATGATCTGCTCTCTCAACTCTACAGCGTCCCAGTTCCCTGTATAGCACCGAATGCTGCACTGATGCCGGCAGTGCACAGTCGCACCGTATGTACGTGTACATGGTGATGTATATAGTAATAGTTATGGTGAAAAGAACAGAGAGAGCGAGTGGCGACGAGGAGGAAAAAAAGGAGGGTAAGGCCGGGGATGATATAAGTAATATACATGTGAGCGATGGAGGGGAAGTACGCGATAAATAAAATAACGATTATACCTATAGTATATTTAAGTATTAAGTACCTATACCGTAGATTTGCGGAGTGGTAAAAAACAGCTTGAAGAAATGCCGTTTTTATAAATGTTCAACAAAGCTATGAAACAAAAGCTCGTGATGAAGATGCGAAAAAGTTTTAAAAATGTCAAACGAGTCTATTCTTCTTCTTGTTTTTTTTGAAATTAAAATAGCTTCTATTATACAGTCTAGTGTGCAGTTAATTGAATGTACAATGTACAGGTGATCGGTTTCTACATGGATATGCTTCATGTAATCATATATGTATGTAAACAATATATTGTTTGAAAGTAAAGTTTAAGTCCTTCCCTCAAAATTTTATGTTATGCATTTACTTACTTGATTTTACAATTTAACAGGGTATGATATGGTTACTTATCACGACGAAAAAATATCAACTTGGTTCAACTTTCCACAAAAAAAGGATATGGTTCCGATTTCTACGTGTGTATGGGTCATTCTACGAAAACCGGCATGCTTCAAGGGCCGGAATGGACAAACGCCTCAAATTATTTTTATCGTATTCTCCATGACCAAAATAAGCTTGACTGTTATGGGCCATGTAGGATCTGCACGAGAAAATTTTTTACGACGACTTTGTTATTTTATTTTTTTTAAATAGGGGCGTTACGGGTTTGTACAAAATCGTCGAAAAGTCGAGATTGTTACGCTCTAAATGAAAATTTAAAAAACGTTGCCACTACACTTAATATATCATGTACAAACCGTTACATTATATAACTCATCATCTTTTAAATCGATAACCGAACGCTTCGTAAAGATACATGACATTGATCCTTAGCTTTACGGACCCTTAGTTTTCGTTTTTGGAGAGTTCGCGTTTACGAATTCGCGAGCGTGTATGTAGCACTGGCCAATTGGAATATAAAAAGCGAAAAAATTTATGCAACATCCTTGACCTCATCGGTATAATAAAAAACGTCCCAATGGAAACGTCCAAATTCAAGTGAGAACATTTTTCATATAAATATTGAATTTATTAGATTTCGGTCCCGCAACTTTAGTCTTGGATACACTTTTTTGTTTTGGTTCTCTCAAATGCGTGAAAATGTTGTTTACTGTCATAACTTTAAGATCCCACGATGTATACGAAACATTAAAAATCTGTATTTTGATTCCAGGTGTCGTAAAATTTTAAATTTGTAAATTTTCGAGTAAAACCGGAGCCCGTGACGCTAATTTAGCCTCTTTTTTTTATCGGAAACTAAAGCAATGCTTATTTTATGATATAATTTCCGATGGTCTGCGACAAAAATTACTAATTCGTCATACAAGTGCCATCGTAACCAAGGGGTGCTGTAAACATCTAAATGTCACGAAAACGCCCCCAATAGGAAAATGATTTTTTGACACAAATGCCATTCAACCAGGATTACCTTATGGATGCAAAATAGCCCCGACAGCTATGGCTTTTCTGTGACGAAAATTACTATTTCCATGTTTTCGCAATTTAATTATTTTTCATGACATAGTAAAATGTATGACATAGAAAAATCTTTTATTTTATTGTAATCTACAACTTTGTCCCTGAACACAAACCCTTAGCTTTGACATTGAACTTGAAATCACGTACAAAATTTGGGCCCATCTGGACAATGATTACTTGAGTTGGTCAAAAAACTTGATTACGTACATACATAAATGCGTCATGTCATGTCGGATCCCCCTCATGCTAAGTTATAAATTTGTTTTACATCGAAAATAGACGATGCAATGTATAAGTGGTTACACTTTTTGCTCTGATAAAAATATAAGGCACTCCAATACAATTTTGATTGTGTCCAAAAATACCGATTAGTCTTGATATTTAAGGTATTAATAATTATACCATTAAAAACAAAAAACCTTTTTTTTCAGTAAGGGACAACGTAACGTATAAATTATTGTATTATCTGTAAAAAAAAAAAAAAAAAAAAAATGTTTTGCCACTGCTGTATTATTTAAATGTGCAACCGAGAGTTTTCGGCAGTATAACGATCGGCAGAGCAACTAGTTTTACATGTTTGTTGCAACGAATTCATGATGCAGATAACATTCCACAGGAAGGTGTTTCTTGCTCATTTTTTCGGGAATATTTTTCAACAGTAAGTACATTTTGGTAACGCGCACGGACTATGTATATTTTACCCTCAGTGTTACACAATCAAAGGATCTCACCGTTGGACGAATCAATATAAATTAAAATAAACGTTTATTTCATCAACAAAAAAAAGGAATTAACATTCTTAAAAAATTATTTTACAAGGTAACAAAAACCGCTTACATGACTATATATAGGTATGCGTAATTTGTGCACATACACATGCGCACATCTCCAAAAGAAAAAAAAAAAATTGAGATCTAGAGGAGAGGACCAAAGTTTGAAACGTACGTTTGCATGCCACACTATCCTGTATAGGCTGCGAACATGAGTCCTCTTTCATCAGCTTAGTCCGTCTGATAGGATTTCCCTACAGAGGCACACTATAAAAGTGTATGCGCTAAGAAGAGTGGCCGTGTATAAGAATAAATTCGAGGAAAATTAATGTCATTCTTAATTTACCTATTGATAAACGTAATTTTCATTCATTTTTGGCAAGCAACGTAGAAACGTGCTTTTCAAATTTTGGTTCTCTCCGTCGCTTTGATAAAGTTCAATATGCGCGTCAATAGCAGCATAATTCCCTCTAAATGCAGCTTCTCGCATAGTATCGGTGAAAAAAAAAAAAAAAAAAAAAAAAGTAGGATTTAGCACTACCAGTGCGAGTAGGGCTATATATACTTATAATAGCACCGTCTTCAGTCCTTGTACTTCTCGACGAGTTTGTCGACGTATTCGATGTACGCTTCTTTGGCGGCGTCCTTACTCATGCCCTTCTTGCTGTTCCAGAACTCCCACTTTGCCCTTCCTTTCTGATCAAATATCCCTGGCTTGCCTGTTTTTTTTTTTTTTTTTCAGGAGCAAAAAAATAAAATAAACATTATACAGTAATACAGTTTTTTTTTATTTTAGAAAAGATTGATTAAAAATTTTTTTTTTACAACTTTAGCACGATTATTTGAATCAACGTCACCAGATTTTCTAAATTTCCACGCATTAGCACGGAACGCGAAAGAAAAAGACAAAAAATAGTCAAATCAATTAACACCCCGAATTGTGATGAATCGAAGACCGCGGTAAAATTTGTTTATTTTTTTTTCTTTTTCCCCGAGGCAAAAGCATATATATACGATTAGCAACGCCAAACGACTCGAGTTCGAGTATAATAAGTTTCGCGCCGCACATGCGCTAATCGACGAAAAAAATATATTCTAAAACATTTTTTCAAACAAAGCCGACGCTTCGAAAATAGACAAAAAAAAACACATTTCGCAACTTTTTCCGACGCTACCAACCGATGTGGGTATAATATATTATGATGAAAAAAAAAAAAAAAAAAAAAAAAAAAAAAAAAAAAAAAAAAAAAAA